AACTTTATTTAATTACAATATTTTGTTTATGAGTCAAGTAATAGACTGTTGACGTGAAAAAAATTTAAATGATAAAAATATTTTTTTTTATTTGCGTACTGTACAGGATTAAAATATGTACGTTTAAGAGAAATGTTTAGAAGACAGTATTTTAAAAATACCTTTAAAAGAAGATTACAGTAAGGTTAAAGTTAAACTGTTCAACGTTATTTGTTTTACGTGCGTAATCATCAATTTGAGGTTACCAATAAAACTCATTTTAAACCTGTTTTTTCTTTGAAGATTTTTTGATGTAAAAGACATTTTTTTAATTCTCTAAGTCTTTTTAACATTGACTATATGAACATATTATGACTTGTTGTTTCAGATCCTCCCTCAGCGCCTATGATCACCGGCTACATCCCCGGAACCACACTAGCCGCTGGTACCGTTCAGAAGTTGGCCTGCGTCTCCACTGGTGGAAACCCACTTGCTACTCTTACATGGTTTAAGAATGATAAGAAGGTAAGATCTTAAACTTAAAAATATACTTTTTGATTTATCGAAGTTAATATTTATATTTATTACGTTAATGAAGTTTTATACCCGTGTTTTTACTTTTCGAAAAAGTTTAATTGAAACCTACGCGACAAACAGCCGTTAATGTTCGCCGGTAAGTGCCCCGTCCCGTGTAAAGCGTTATAGTATTTGACACGGAAGTCATACTGAGCCCTAAGTCTCCACTCTGAATGTTTATGTAAAACTCTCAAAAATAGGCATCTACATTACTTATTGTACTTACTATAATATTAGCTATTTATTATAAATTATCAATCAATCATTGAAACAAAACTTTATGAGACTTTATTGTTATTATTAAGTTAGTATCGAACCATTATGGGTTTAGCCATCAAACCTCAATATCTCTGAGTGTTAAAACAATGTTTTATGAATATATTATACACAAACATCAACCTTTTTTATGTCCTTTTAGTCTACAATTTCCCGACTACTTGCCTATTTCCTCTGCGAAGTAATATAATTATTTCCACTCGATGTCTAATGTAAATGAATCATTTCCATAAACACTCACAGTGGACAGTAGTAGATTTATACACTTTGTTAGTGGAGTTATTAAGAAACATGAAAAGGTTTCACGTTGCATGAAAGGAATATATTGCTCGTTTAAAGCTAAATAATATTGCAATTAAGTTTAAAATGCATACGTATATTAATTTTTAACTTTATTCATGACTTTTTATTCTATTTTCAAAATCCACTTCAGCAACTTAATCTTATAAAGTAATGAAAAAACTTTGGCAATTATATGTAAAAAAACTATAAAAAATAATTGTTCGTTGCTATGCCTAAGATAAATTAGAATAAATAGATGGGCTCTATTGTCAATGTAGAGATAGTTGAGCGGCTTTATTAATAATATTAACCGCCACTTAAACACACAATTACACTTAAACTTATCTACTAAGTATATTGTTAATGATTTTTGATTGCGAAATAAAAATGATATACTTTTATATACCCAGAGTCGCCTGATCAATTGTAAAGCTACGTGCTAAGTCAGCCCTACCGTTTAAATAAGGTTGTTTTTATTATTATATTTAATTGCTCTCAACAGATCCATTCAGTAACAAAGTCGACAGACAAGATGGTGTCATCCGAGATATCAATACTGACCAATGTGACTGATAATCAGGCGCAATATCGATGTGAAGCTACCAACAGTGCGACGGAGATACCGCTCTTCGAAACTGTTACATTGAACGTGCACTGTAAGTATTAATGAATCAACCTTCTCTACCCTTTAAATTCCAGCAGTTTTAGCCTATACATTTGGCTTTCAACCATGAGGTCGTAGATTCGACCCACGGCTGTACACCAATGGACTCTCTGACTACGTGCGCATTTAGCATTCGTTCAAACGGCGAAGGAAAACATCGTGAGGCAACCGACTTGCCTTAGACCCAAAAAGTCGACGGCCTGTGTCAATTATGTGTTAAATGTACACACAAATAACAGCGCTTGTATTTGTTGTTTAGACATAAAAATCGATGAACTGTGTTAGGCACGCAAGGATGGGTGGCTTATTAAAAGAAAATTGTCTACGAAAAAGACGCGGAAATATTCTTGCGCATGTGTCCTATTAGGAGGTCACGGGACTACACACTATCTAAACTAAAGCCATTTCGCAAGTAACCATTATAATGTTAATACTACAAACAATAATATACTATTCAAGTTTCATCACAGAGATAGGAGACAAATCCATACAATTCTGTCATTGAAGTTACAAATACATTTCAATACAAAGCTGTTTTAAACATTTAGTTTAATAAGTAGTTTAAAAATAAATCAATTAGCCGCCAAACTCGGTAACTAACGATTTAACTTACATTACAAAGACTTGTAAATTAAATTCCTAAGTTTAAAGTTACGGGCTGAGTTTAATCAATATGAGAACATCTAGAACATAGTTCAGTTGCAGTAAAATATCTCGATCCAGCTATTTGTAATTTTAATCGGGGCTTATTGTGTTGTGCTTAGATTTAGTGATTTATATACAACTATAAAAACAGTATTTTTATTCACATAAATGTTTGAAAGCCCAACGAGAATTCCAGTTATGTTCAAGGTGTTAGGCGGACTGAGAGCTTCCATTGAAAGCGATCCTCAAAACAATGTATAGTGCTTTTTTGTGCTTTTTTTTGTTTGCGTTGAAGTTTCCCTTTTTTTTTAAGAAGTGTTATGTATTTATTTTAACATAACATTAGTTTTATTGCTGTGTATTATTCCAGAAGTTAGCAGTTGCAGTTTTTGACTGCATCAAATTCGTTCAAATCTCGGGATCAAATTTCTAAGCAAAAATTTCAAAAATTTGTTAGTTGGCTCGCAAATCCGTTTTGCGCTGTGCCTTCTATAGTGATTCTCGGTTCGTGTCAATTTAGTGCCATCAGAGTATGAGAATTATGGAATGGAAAGTACATTGTTTCTGCGCAATGCTTAGAAATAATAAATAATTGAAAGGCTAGAATGTGTTTATCAAATACCTTAGTTACTATAAGCATGCCTTCGTTTGCGTTATGGCAATCATTAAATATAGAGCAGTGTTGGCCTAGTGGCTTCAGCGTGCGACTCTCATCCCTGAGGTCGTAGGTTCTATCCCCCGGCTGTGCACCAATGGACTTTCTGTCTATGTGTGCACTTAACATTCACTTCAACGGCGAAGGAAACCATCGTGAGGCAACCGACTTGCCTCAGAACCAAAAAGTCGACGGCCTGTGTCAAGCACAGGAGGCTGATCACCTACTTGTATATTAGATTGACAAATGATCATGAAACAGATACAGAAATCTGAGTACCAGAACTAAATAGGTTGTAGCGCCACTGGCAGTTAGCAAATATACATAATAAATAGATATCATTACCTTCATTACCATACCGTACACCAAACTATATCAACAAAGACGTTCCCTGGTTTCATATTTAGATGTGATAGCTATTCGCAAAGGATCACACGTCTAAATGAATCTTGAATTATTAAACGCGTGAGTTTAGCAAGTTTGAGATAACTTCATAGGAATCAGAGTTTTCAATATTAATGTATTCATTCCGGAGTAAGTTAAGCATCCAATTAATTTATAAACCAACGGAAGTTTATATAAGTGTTTCTTTTTCTACAGTCGCACCCGAGGCAGTAAAAGTAAGAGCTGACCCAGAGGAACTCCGACCGGGCATCGAATCTACATTATTCTGCGATGCAGCGAGCAGCAACCCGCCAGCCACGCTATCTTGGTGGCGGGATGGTATTCCTGTGCAAGGTGAGTTTTTAATGCCCATTTTTGTAAACTGTTATAACTAAAGAGTAATAAGATTGATACAACATTTCTTATGATAAGTATTGTGAAATAATCTAAATGTTATTCAATTGATTAAAAAACACAATTTTTTGTTTCAACACAAACGATTCTTTTGTTGACAGGATATTATATTATTACTAGCTGACCGGCAAACGTCGTTTTGCCATGTTATTATTTCTATTAAATATTTATTTAGTTCAATAATCAAAATCTACTATAATACTATAATCTACTCCAATAAATTATAGGGGTTGATTGTAGAGGGGTGACAATCAAAGGTTGTATGTATTTTTGTATGCTGTATCATAAAAAAATAAAAACAAAAAGATTTGTCTAAAAAATAAATTTAAGGGTGGGACCAATAACCAAATAAATGTTGTCTGATTCTCAGATTTACTAAATATACATAAAAAATTTCATAAGAATCGGTCGAACCGTTTCGGAGGAGTATGGGAACGAATATTGTGCCACGAGAATTTTATATATTAGACTATTATTTCAATAATGAAACTACGAGAATTAAGAGTATCAAATGGGTAGCTTTTATTGCAACTGCTATTGATTTGTTTGTACAAAGTATATATATGTGAAATTTTTATTCAACGTGTATAATTGTTGTACGTGTACATATATATATATATGTCTTTAACATGTTTGACTTACTATGTTTTACTCAGGTCTCCCTATGAAAATGAAGAAAGGCCTTCACGGCGGTACAGTATCGACGATAGAACTCAAGTTGAACATAAGCAAGGACCTCAATGGCGCAGTATACACCTGTCAGGCCATGAACGAGGCGATACAGAGGAGTGTGCATGACGCACTTACTTTGAAAGTTCTGTGTACGTATTTTACAATATTAAGTAACGTAGATATACAAAAAAAATAGTATTGTCAATAGTGTAGTTTTAACTTGTATGTTTAATTGGGTTTAATAATAAAATGTGTTGGAGATATATTTAAGGTATCTACATTATATGTAAATAGTAACATTGGACACCATTCCCAGGTCAACAATTAAGTAAGCTTAAAATTCTTATAGATATTACAAAAAATATTTAATTTTACGTCTTTACCGTAACTTACTTACAAACATATTTTTTTTATAAATAGCTTTTATCATACTATAAAAATGTAAATCTATAGATGAACCCATCTTCGACGAGACCACTCAAACAACGGCGGTGGGCGTAGAACACGAACAGCTCATAGTATCAGCTCGTGCGCACGGCAACCCTTCGCACATCACGTACACTTGGACAAAGGACGGACTGCCTATCACGCATTCCTCGTATAGCACAACCAGTAAGTGTAGGCTTTACTTTGTAAGGCTATAGTGAAAAGTAAACACAATTTAGCTCCTTTCATTATATAAATGTTATTTGCTTTCTAAATCAAAGTAATTATTATTTTACCAACATCAAACACAACTGCTGAAAACGCGGAATGTGGGCAGTTCTGTATAAAAGGGAAAACGGAATAATTCAGAAAGCTTTTTAGTATATCCAATGTAATCAATTAAGTATGCAGTACTAAAATCTGAGGTCGTGGGTCATTATTCTTTTGTTTACTATGTAGGTAGTTGTGTTATCAATATTGCGTACGGAGGAGAAAGTATCATGGGGAAACTAGCAAGTCTTAGACCAACGACTTGACGTGTGCCAGTCACAGTAAGTCACGAAAGAGCACAGAAATGTGTCTGTCTGCCCAAACATTCATAGGTTACAGGAATACAACAATTGTATGTAGTCCATTCTTGCGTACACAATGTAATCAAGAGTAAAATTAGTATTGTTTGTCAATAAGTAATTAACAATTTTGTCGAAAAAAAATGCCATTTCCCCAACTCGAACAAAATGTTATTTTCCTACGAAGTATTGATAGTACATATTTATACTCTATAACTTGAATTTCAAAAAGGAGACTCCGTAAGTCGTTGTTAGTAAATATAATGACGTCTTACTTAGAAACTTACACTTAGAAATCGCGCCTCCGTAAATCGAAATTTCAGCAGTTAAAACTGTATCTCGAAGTTCTTGTTAAGTCGAAATCTCGTTAACTCGATTTTTTTTGCATTTCCCTTGACATTCGAGTTATAGAGATTCCATTGTATATACTTCTATTATAAAGATAAAAGTTTTGTATGCTTTAACTATTAACTATGTTTGTAACGAATAAAATTCTTTCACCGTTAAAATGCTACATTATCACTTAGTAGCGAAGGATGTATTATGATATTCGAAGCGCATAAATATCTCAAGCATTTTAAATAGACGAATGCAAAAGTTATTCACAAAGGGAATATCTAAGAGATGTTAACTCATAACGACATTTAATATTCGCTCCGAATAATTTGATTTTCAATAATAATTTATATGGCTTCAAGGAATTCCTAATATTCCAGCTGTTTTGATCTTGTATTACGCGGCTTCATGGAAATGAGAATTTCTGCTATGAATTATTTGTTTGTTACGCTTAATTTCATGAATGTAGCTATAATTTGATACGTGTTTTTAATTTTAATTAAAGGACATCCTTAAAATATCATGTGGTAAAATATTGGTAATGTTATTATTTCACAAAATATGACAGCAGAATACAATTGAACAATCTTTTAGAAAAAAATATATTAACTTTAGTTAATATGCATATTGCATATACTTATATAGTTTTTATGTATGATTTCTTGATGTATTTATAAGATAGTGAAAATCGCCAGGAAAAATTTGGTTTCAATTCCGATTGATTAATTATAAAAAAAACTGAACTTTAAAAAATCGTAACAGTTTTATTTCGGATAAGTGATTATCTTTCCACTTTCAATGGAGTCTGTAGGAGAAATTTTTGCATGAACCATTTATATTGTAGGTACTGTGGTGATCAGCCTTCTGCGTCTACTAAACCAAACTTGTCATTGCTGCGTCAGGGATCGCCATGATTGCAGAGGTGGTTGTTATTATGTATATTTCTTTTTCAGACGATCGAATTATATCAGAAGGCAGTACGTTAAATATGACGCGACTGTCCCGTCACGACGCTGGTGTTTACACGTGTGAAGCCGTTAACTCGCAAGGCGCTGCCGTCATCAATGTCACTGTATCCGTTCACTGTAAGTCATTTTATTAGACGACATACATACCTACATATTGTGGAAGAAAAAGCATTTATTTAGATTATAATTGATTTCCAATTACAATTATATCTAAATTTAGGACAGACAGAACACTGTATATATATTCTGTAGGTTCCGAGAAAAAGCTGTAATACGCAAAATTATGTCTTCAAAAACGAGTTGTATGAAATAGTTATATTAAAGATCAGAATTAGCAATTTATTAAATGAAAACTTAGCGGGAATGTCGTGATTCTAAATATCAATCAAAAACTATAATATAGCAACTACTTCACTGTTCCTATATTGTAGCTACTGAGCGTTCCGAATATGTCTCTGTATTATAAACTAGTCCTTGCAGCGGCGTGATTGAAGCGTACTAAATCACAGCTACGTACATAACAAACACAACATAACAACGTAAATAACAAACAATTGCCTTGCAGACGCCGCCGAGATAAAATCCGTTTATCAGGACGCCATTTCGAGCCCTAACGAAGACGCCGTGTTGGCCTGCACCGCTACAGGTTTGAACTTTATTCCTTATCATTATACATATACGGTTGAAAGTTCATACGAGGATAATATAGTGCGTACCCGCTTCTAACACTAAAATATGTCGTAGAAATAAATTGATTCTTTAAAACACATTTTGTTTTATAAATGATTTGAAGCTTTAACAGTATTATTTAAATTGTAGTTTCTTTTTATATCAATAAGTTATAGCTGCTCCGTTCTAGCTATTAGTTTATTTATCACCCATTATATTGTTCACTTAACTCTTAGCATAACTACTTTAGCCCAAAAACCTTTCAGTCCTCATCATCACCTTTGTGGTGTCTAGGAGCTTTAAAAGAGGACAGCCACGACAAAATATTTACGTTACATAAGTAATCTTCATCAAAATCAATCAAAATCATTTATTCATATAGGTAACATAATGTACACTTATGAATGTCAAAAAAGAAATACATATCAAATGCTTCTAATTTTACATTTACTGCCTGTTCTCAAATCAAGGGCGTGAAACGGAAGAGAAGAACTGTCAATAAAAAGTCCGCTGTAAATTCAATTAATTAGTGATACAATTTACTTTTTTGAACAGGCAACCCCCTCGCATCCGATCACATTCGTTGGGAGCGTCCGGACTACGACCTCTCCTCTCGCAGCGTAACCTTTGATCCGCGAAATCAAACGAGCTTCCTTACCATTGACAAATCAAACCGAGAAGACGTCGGCACTTTCACATGTGTCGTTGATAATGGCATTGGTGGCGAAGACAGGCAGGAAGTGATGTTGGTTGTCAAGTTCAAACCGGAAATGGATACGTCGCCGAGCTTAATCAAATCAGCGACTAATGTTGGACAAGTCGGGCGTTTGACGTGCAAGTGAGTACATCTTTGATCCTGGGAAGTCAATTGGTTTCGGATTTGCGTTATTCGTTGGGTATGGAATAAAAATTATTTATTGGTAAGAAGGCTTACCTCGTAACAATAATGTACTTCACACGCAACCTAGGTTCTTTGCCTGAAATTGTTTTAAGTTGTAATTAATAAAAAACTCCATTATTTAAAGTTTAATTGGAAAAGTTAAAAATAAATACTTTCAAACGCAAAAAAGGTTTGTTTGGGTAAAAAATTAGTTTGGCACGGAAAGATTGTATGACCCCATTGGAAATGGCTACAGTATTTTACTTTTTTTAGATGCAAATCTGCACCCGCGCCTAACTTCACTTGGTCAAAAAGCGGTAACAAATTGCCAGTCAACACATCCACGAAATATTTTGCGGAGTACCACAAAATAGATGCCATTACATATGCCTCTGTGCTGTTAATCAACGATGTGTCGTCTGCCGATTACGGTGCATACGAATGCGGGGCAAGAAACGATATAGGATTTAGTACTACATCTGTGAAACTAGATGTTACCAGTGCGCCTGGTAAGTGAAACATTTTAATTGTGTGGGTATGTATATAAACCTACAATGTTACCTATATATATATACCCCCAATAGTGAGTGAACTGATTGAAAATATTTATATTTTGGGGCTAAACCCCCATGTGTTATTTGTTGTTGAAAACTTAATTTAAAACTACATTATTGTTTTTTATTGCATCTGTTACTTCGTATATATAGGAATATGCAAAATCTATTTAGTACATTAGATAATCCTGTATAATGGAAAGTGAATACATAATATTGGGAAATTAATTATTTATTGGAACATTAGTACGGTTAAATACACGAATCCATAATAGTCATGTCTTACAAAAGGATTTGTGTGTGTTGTAAAAATAATATGTGCTTGAAAGTTCTAGTACAAACTTTGACGAACGGCCCATCAAACTGCGAGCTGTATTTATGTAGCGTGATGTTATATAGCCTACAGCTTGTCTTATTAAATGAACTACACTCAACACAAGAATATTAGGCCCCATTCCTGAGATTAACTCTTAGTTTAAAACTCATTCGATTGTAATAAGTTTAAGTGTAGATCGAACCATCTAAACTTGTAACTTGGTAGAGGGAATAGTAATTTTCTATGAATGGTAAGGAAACGTTTACATTATAATTCAAAGATTAAAACGTGAATGAATTGTATTTTGGCAGATCCTGTAACATCAGTGGTTGTCACAAATGTGACACACAACTCGGTGTCTCTCGAGTGGGTTCCCGGATTTGATGGCGGACTATACTCGTGGTACAGGGTTCGATACCGGTAAGAAAAATTTAATATTTATACATTTTAACACTAATATCCCTAAAAATTATTCTGTGATTTACAAAAAGTGATCTTAATAAAATATTCTTGAAATGTCAAAAACATTTAGATTAGATTATATTGTTCTGTCATTATATACAATTAAAAGTTCGCTATTAAATCTAATAAGTCTAGGAATGTTAGATGTAATTAGAACGGCGAACAACTTTGAAATATTAGCGTAACGAAACAAAAGAAAAGCAATTTTGCTAAACGGCTCTAAAACATATTTATTTAAATACAAATTAAAAACTTTACCCAGATGACAAATGACAGTAATAAAGTCTCTAATTTTGTATACAGGGTGGCGTTATGTTCGCCATTTATACAGGCTGACATTAAATTATTCCTGAGGCATACTAACTTAATTCTTTTGAGCCCTGCAGAAATATTTAAGCTTTTAAAACTTGTCACTTAAATTGCTATTAAAAGTTTTTGTTCAAACTATATAATCATAGGTTTTGAGCTACAATTTAAATTAGAGAACAGGAGATAATCCACCTGAATAGGTCTGATACTCGCGTAACGACTAATTTATTTCTCATACCGTATTGAATGTGTGAAATTCTCGGGTTATTGGACTAGACAAGTTGGAAAAAAGAATACGCTATTAATAATTATACGGTAGTGGGTCTAGGCGACTTCGATAAATAAACTGGCGGGAAATCCCTTAAACCATTGTAACAGGCGCTATCTCCCATTATACATAGTTAAATCTCTTAATCAAATACATTTTTACAGAAAAATCTACGACGAAACATATCGATACGAAGATGTGCTGCCACGTAACGCGACTTCATTCACAATTCACAACCTCGAACGACACACCGATTACGTCTTCTCCGTGATGTCCATTAATAAAATAGGCCAGAGCAAGTACAGGCCTGATGATACAAAAGCTACTACTTTGAGTAAGTACTTCTAATGCTTTCATTTAAATTCAAAATTCCAGATTTTCACAAGATCTTATGTTTCTTGTTGTCTTTACTAATAATAATAATCAGTGGCGCTACAACCTCTTTAGGTCTGGGCCTTTCTGCATCTGTTTCAAGATCATTTTTCAATCTAATACGCAAGTAGGTGATCAGCCCCCTGTGCCTGACACACGCCGTCGACTTTTTGGGTCTAAGACATGTCGGTTTCCTCACGATGTTTTCCTTCACCGTTCGAGAGAATGTTAAATGTTATAGAAAGAAAGTCCATTGGTGAACAGCCGGGGATCGAACCTACGACCTCAGGGATGAGAGTCGCACGCTTAAGCCACTAGGCCAACACTGCACTGTTGTCTTTAATATGTCCACTAATATTTAGTAACAGGTGTAGATCTGCCACATGTGCATTTAAAATTTGTCTCACACTTTAGAATCTTATAGATTTCAAATAAATGTCCAACTACATATGATTTAACGAATATAACTACTTGGACACACAAAAATTTAACAAAAATTGATGGACAATTTATCTATAGACATAATTCCGTCGTCGGTACAATCGAGCTCAGAAGAATACAACTCATATCACGTGCCAGGTGTATTTATTATCACCGGTACAATCGTTGGCACTGCACTTATTTTGCTGAATGTACTTCTGGTTGGCTTCTGTCTACACAGACGGACCAATAAGAGGATACGAGGTTTGCGCTGGATGACTTTCATGTTGTTTTTGTTGTCCTAGTAGCACACCTTAGATATATGTACTCAACTTATGAATGACGAAGAATCGTTGGGGAAACGCTGTATTTTCGTCATTCAAAAGCTAATATTTGTGATAGTTCGAAAATTTAATTTCTTATAATATAGCATGACAGCTTTGTTCTTACCCAAACCGCACTTTTTAATTTATTATTTTTGTTATTTCTAGCTTCGTCCGAAGTAGGCGAATTGAACGTAGTATCCACTGAGTTTGTAGAAACAGCTGACGTGTCGAAGTCCGTAGTAGTTTATGTTTCGATCACCGGAGTAGTTTTGGTTTTGATAAATGCTGCTTTGGTAGCTTGCTTTATTTTTAAGCGACGATCCAGGCGATTAAAAGGTAAGTTTTTAATTTGAGCTTATTTTTGTAAGTAGGGCTAAATATGCCATATATAATATAGCTAAAAATATATATGGATATATTTAGTTTCGTAATTACTGTTATATTATTAGTTTGAATGTTTTCAATACATGCACGTTGAAGTAGTTATTATAATTTTGTATTTTTAATAATAAGGTTCTACGAAAATCTAATAAAAGATAGTCAACTACTAAATACTTGAACGTATTAATCCCTCTGAGAAACAAATTAACTCTATCTCCCCTTAAAATACATTTCATAGTCAATTCGGTTTCAGAACAAGCTGGTCAATCGTCAAAGTCGGCCACCATAGAAATGTATGCGCCATCCTCCTACAACGACACGATGACGGGTGAAACTCTAAGCTCTGTCTCGGAGAAGTCAGAGACGTATTCCCAAGATGGTGATGGTCAGCCACCTCCGATACCCGAAGTGCCCATTATGCCAAATAGGCATATGTTGAATCAGGTAAGCATTCTCATCATCATACAGTTTTTATCATCGACTTGTTCTTTTAAACTGCTAGAGAAACATCTTTTTTAGTAATAGGAGGCAAATGGGCAGGAACCTCACCTGAGGTTAAGTGATAACGCTACCCATGGACACTCACATTGCCAGAGGGCTCGCAAGTGCGTTGCTGGCCTTTCAAGAATTTGTACCATCTTTTCATAGGACCCTAGATCGAATAACTTAACTTGGGTTATGTGTAATAGACTGACATTCACATCCCCCCTATTCTCTCTACACGTCTTGTCTCTTTTCATCACAGCATACGTATAGATACAATCTAACAGAAAGAGATGAAAGATTACTTTAGTTAAAAGAGTAAAGAGAGAATTTAAAAAAAAGTCCAGGCCAGCCAATTTTCCATAAATTCCCGTATCAACTATAATGAAAATATACACAACATAATATTTCGTTTAGACGGAAGCCTACCTAATGGACGAGCAGGGTCTAATCCCTCCTCCACTGGACTACCCTCCACCCAACTACGCGGTATACGAAGGGGACCACGCGAGGACCTTGCCGCACCCCCACAGGCATAAGGACATCAGTGGGCATAGTACTTTGGGAAGAAGTGCAGGTAACATTTATGTCGTATACACCGATTATGTGCTTTATGAAGAAGGAAGCAAAGGCTTAGAATTTTGCAAGTGCGTAGCCGGCCTTTAAGAAAGTGCTACGATGTTTCTAGGTCGTTACTTTTCGGAATAACCTTGGCTTACAACTGATTTCATAAACTTAGCACCCGTGGAATGCCATTTTGATTTAAAATATTATTATTAAAAGAAAACAGAAAATTGTTTTATTTCATTTGACTAATTTTAATTATAAAAAAAATCTTTTGTGCGTGTGTTTGTAATTTAACTAGAATGGTTTAAAATTTACAATTAGATACTTTTTTTATGACGTGTATATGTCACCGTAAAATTGTAAACACCGTTAGATTGTAATCTATCTCGCGAGATTGTAAACTGTCGAAAGATTGTGAGCCTCAACGAACTGCTTACAATTTAACGTATTATTATTTGGTAGATTGTAATCTATCGAAGTGAAACCGTCAAATTGTGAAACGGATCTCACCTCGCGCGCTGATTGGTTGAACGGAATATGCCCCGCGCCACCATATTTGTTTGTTAATTCGTTTGTTGTAATGAAATTTTCTTTCATTTCATTTCCAACACTAACTTAGTAAACATTCAAACTTCTTTGGTCAATCACAGATTAATTTTACTTCCCAACAATTTCATTTAACTAATTCTAAAGCTGTGAGTTACTTTCAACACGACATCAATTTACATTCATCAAAACAATCAATTTACATTCGACAACAAACGAATTAACAAACAAATATGGTGGCACGGGGCATATTCCGTTCAACCAATCAGCGCGCGAGGTGCGATCCGTTTCACAATTTGACGGTTTCACTTCGATAGATTACAATCTACCAAATAATAATACGTTAAATTGTTAGCAGTACGCCGAGGTTCACAATCTTTCGACAGTTTATAATCTCGCGAGATAGATTACAATCTAACGGTGTTTACAATTTTACGTTAACATATACATGACATCGTCTGTCGGGTCCACTTGGAAACTTAAATCACTATACAGTTATTTGTTTTACAGGCAAACAGAACTACGTCCCTGCCCCCAGCCCCATGCCCCCGCTGGACGGGTCCTACTACAACATGTCATCCGATAGATATCTCTCGTATCCACCCTTAATTGGAGAATATTTACAACAGGTAAATATTTAACGAAATAAGTCATTTTTAAATTTATTTACCAATAAAATTATTCCTAAGACACATTAAAGTTCACAAAATAGGTAATTTGTTTAACTACAATTGACACAGACATAAAATCAATGGTTTTGTTTCTATAGTAATTGTATTGTATATATAAATGGAATGAAAATATATATATATATATTATTATTAAATTCTTTTTCGGTTCTTGCGTCTGAGGCGCAAACTGACTCTTGTGGTCTCTGGCAGGATGACCAGTGCTCTGTTCCTCAGCATAATGGAGCTTTATTTCTTTTGATTATTATTATTATTATTTTGTGTGTTTATGTATGTGTATTTCGTTAGTAATAAATGTTATGTCTATGAATAACACGTTATTTCGATACTTTAGTGAAAACGTTTACGTGATAATAAAGTCTCTGAGAATATGTCTGGTTCATATAATTAGCCCATATAATCTAAAATAATTTGCGGGCGATTCTCAGTCACATGTATGTATAAGAACCCAGTAAAAGCCTTAACATAACAGCAGCAGTCGGGTCGTACGCCGACTCCGCCGCAGCAGTACGCGCACAAGCCTCTGTCCAACGGCGGCGTCCCTTCGCCCTCGCATCTCGCCACGCCGCCCCTCAACTGCATTGATGGTGAGTGATATACAATATACAGATATTGCTCAAAACAATTAGCGGAACAAGATTTTTCTCCTTTCTATTTCTTAAACTAAAATTAGATTTAAATTAACTTGTACGCTATTTTTTACCTTGTTAATTTGTTAATTACTACAATAAAAAAAAAGGGTCCGTGTACTTATGTACGCGCGTAAGAAGTTATACTTCTTTGGCAATATTAAAAATAGTTTGGCTTTGTTCCACCTCCAGTTTTTGATGTTTCACAGCGATAAGATGAAAACTCTTTTTTTGTATTCAATTTAGTGCAGTTACACTGATTCATCAATTGTTTTTTGTCTCTTTTCCTTATATTTGCTAGATAAAATCAGAAAAATTACATGTTTTGATTAAACAATGTGGTTAATTTTTTAATCAAAACATTACTCGATAATAATAATAATACATACGGATAGTTAACCTCAATTGTATTGAAGCACTTAGGAAGGTTACAAATATTAATTAGTATTGGTTTAAATATTCAATTTAAATCACTTCTGATTATAATTCAAAAAGCATCGCTAAATTTCTTTGAAAAAATAATTAAAACTCCTTTATTTGTTTAAAAGGTAAATGACAAATGTCATTATGGTCATTCAAAATTATTGGCATACGAACTTCACGCATATTCTATTTCTTTTTACTTGTAGATTGTCTTATTCCTATCTCGCTCGCGCACGCTATAATCACACTCCTAATTTTGTGTCACGGGTGCGCGCGCATTGTAAAATTTCACTCTCATAAATTTTTCATAACGTCCCTAAAGAAGTATAACTTCAAAAAAATTCAATTTGTATTTTTTTATTAAAAAAAATTAAAATGTGCATTGTAGACGAAAAACAAAGTAACGTCTTTGAATTTTCATTACTTTCTAATCACAGAAAACACATTTCAAGTAGTTTTTTTCAATCTTTTGAGTATTAATAGAAATTGATGTGAGCCTTTTGAGTATTGTTATTCATTGAAGCGAGTGAGTTTAGGTCATAATGCCAGATCTGACTGAATTGCATGTCTCCCGAGCTATCGCTTTGCTTGAAGAGGGTCGAACTATGCGTTATGTAGGAAATTATCTAGGAGTAGCCCCTTCTGTTATACAGACTTTGGAAGCGATACCGTGAGACGGGAGAATACTCACGAAGGCGTGGTCAAGGTCGAAAGAGAAAAACTACACGTTTGCAAGATCGCTACATCGTCAATTGTGCTTTACGTAACCGCACCACAACTGCAAGAGATCTACAAAATACACTAAGGACGGCTACTGGTGTAGAAATTTCCGACCAGACGGTAAGAAATAGGTTGTTGGAAGGCAATTTGACATCACGCCGACCAGTTCGGGCTGTGCGTCTAACAATTCAACATAGACAAGCTCGCCGACAGTTCGCGTAAAATCACGCTAATTGGCAACTTCGACATTGGAGGCCAGTGCTTTTTACTGACGAATCACGATTCCGTCTAACACGTTGCGATGGTCGTCTCCGTGTTTACAGACGCCCAGGCGAGCGATACAGTGCAGCAGCAGTCCAGGAATATGACAAATTTGGATGTGGCTCTGTGATGGTTTGGGGCGGAGTTAGTTTGGACGAGCGCACAGATCTCGTCGTTGTTCCCGGGCGCTTGTGTGCTCAAACTTACATTGAAAATGTGCTCGAAGATCATGTTTGGCCCGCAGCATATGGTATGGGCCCAGATTTTCTTTTAATGCAAGATAATGCCAGGCCGCATACTGCAGCCATCTAGTCAGATTACTTACGACAGCAGGAAATCCGTGTAATGGAGTGGCCTTCCATGAGCCCTGACCTAAATCCAATTGAACACATTTGGGACTTGCTTGACAGGCGCATCCGGAAGCGTCCGATTGCACCTCAAACACTGCAGCAGCTCACTGAAGCGTTGATTGAAGAATGGGAGCGAATTCCACAAGAAGATATTCGGAGGATCATACGAAGCATGCCGCGTCGTTGTCAAGCCGTGATTAGGGCTCATGGAGGCCACACACGTTACTGAAAGTCACTAAAGACGAATATTCAAACGATATAAGAATATTTCTTTGATGGACCTTTTTTATCACCAATTAGTTTTTCGTCTACAATGCACATTTTAATTTTTTTTAATTAAAAAAATACAAATTGATTTTTTTATTAATTGTAGTAATTAACAAATTAACAAGGTAAAAAATAGCGTACAAGTTAATTTAAATCTAATTTTAGTTTAAGCAATAGAAAGGAGAAAAATCTTGTTCCGCTAATTGTTTTGAGCAATATACAGATATCATATATACACATACAACTTTAACTGATTTCAATTGTTGACTCACATAAGAATGAAATACACTGGCACTCGCCAACTCACTAGTGACTAAAGATGGTTTGATGTGGTAATTATATGTATAGGTTAATTATTTTCTTTCTATGTGCGTATTTAACTTTTACTCGAACTGTGATGAAAAACATCGTGAGGAAACCGTCTTGCCTTAGACCCAAAAAATCAACGGCGTGAGTCAGGCACAGGAGGCTGATTAACCACTTGCCTATTAGATTGACAAATGAAACAGATTCAGAAATCTGAGGTCCAGGCCTAAAAGGCTGTAGTGCCACTGATGTTATGTTATATAAAATAATGAAATCATGATCGCTATTAGGTTATTAGTAGGGATGGTTCGATTCCAAGAAATAACAATAATTATTTAAGGTTGGAAAACTCATAAAACTGAACGTCTAACTGGAACAGCCTTATTATAAAACGTGGACTATAGATAGTCTGTTATCATGGCAACCATAGCAATAAACACAACTATATATTATTTTTATTTAAATCCATTTTTTATAGCCCTAGACCGTCAATCAACGGGCGGGACGCTAAGACGGCAGAGGTTCGACAAAATGGCCGTACCACCACCTGACGTCACGGTTTTACACCCTGGAAATTGTACACAGGTAATTTTGCTCTATAAAATTAACATGGTACTGAGTAATTAAAAATCTAAGTGGACTTAATTACTTTTAAGAACCTCGCAGCCGTACTCAAGAGTGATAAATCATGAACCTATACTTTTAGATATAAATCTAAAACAGAAATACTACTAGAGTTGCATAGTTTTTTAATACATATATGTTATTTCATGACGTATTAATTGAAGATTCATTGAAAGAAGTATAGCACAAGGGGACATTTTAGGAAGGGTTTCAGTTTGACATGTATGTATGTGACATTGAATTGAAAAATATTTGAGTTTGTGGGTGTGCATGTTTTTCCACAAAATTATCTGAATTTTTCTCGAGATATTTCTGTTTATCGTCTAAGTCAGATCGAGATGAATATAATTTATCTAAAACAGATTTACAAATTTAGGAAACAAGTTTCATTAAGAAAAATCACGCATTCCTGGGTATTCATTCTACTATGAATAATTTTATCAGTTGAATTTTTCCTATTGCCAGTTAAAAATTGGCTTTAGCTGTTAATATTAACCAATTGATTTTGAAAGAAAACTCAACCAGATACTAGTTTAGATAACACTCAAAGAATATTGTAACAGCAATTGTGTTTTCCGGAAAACCATTTCCTACGAGGAAAACTTGTATCAATAATTCTTGAGTGTACTGTTCTTGGACGAAAGCAAATATCATTTAATGATATTATTTTAGATAGATTTTTCCTTTATACGATAATTTGTTTTTATTCACCGAAAGAATGAAAATCCGGAAGATATTTAGACTGAAATCATTAAATATAATAACTCAAAGTAATCACTTCAGTTCGCTTCTTCGATGCGTCCAAAGATTCTAGGTTCGAGTCGCAGATAATAATAAAATCATTAAAGTAGGAAACGAAGGAAAGAAGGAAAGGCAATGCTATCAACCTACTCCATTGTTGTGTTATTACAATTCCTTTATTGTAAACTTACGAAGCAATGAAAAATAATATTCCACTATTATTATAGATAATTAAAAGCATCGGAATACTAGGAAATATTTGTTTTACAGTTAAGTGGTCATCCAATTATTTTGCCGAGTCGGTTATGAATTAACAATGTTTTAACAGTTCAATGACACGAGACGTGCTCGTGGAATTATTGAACCCTTCATTAGTTCTGAACGCCTGGTACTTTGTTGGGATTTGCTTTATGAATATGGACAATTAACTGCCGTTTAATGTTTAAACTATTGGTATATTGAGCGATAACTATTTTCATTATATTTTGAATGGTACTATAGATACAGTTACTATGTAGTGGTTGTCTTTATGAATTTTATTATAATGTTTAAAAAACTTTAGTTCTTATTACAAAAATGCTATTTTTTTACATGAGAAACTTAGACACGGACGAGATACCTACACGTCGCCATCAGACAGCCGTCCTAATTTTAGTCTACAAGGCACATTCTGATATGAATCTTTAATGCCCTTTTAAATTGGTTAAACACGCTAATTTTAGACGGTAATTTATTAAATAATCGCACTCCCTGATTCTTAATAGACTTCTTACAATAATTTGTACGCGGCTTCGGCAAGATAAGCAAACTCTACGAGTTTAGTGTAGTGGTGTTTGATTTGTTTGAATGATAAGCTACGATGAAAAGTTTTTAATGTTCTTTTTTTAAATAAAGATACATGTGATATAAACATATGGTTGTTTAATCGTCATATTATTATCTTATTCTTAAACCCACTTAAGTTGAATAAGCTGTAGAATGTTCTCTAATCTAACATATAAAAGTTATAAAAGAGCTACAAATGTATTCAATTGTAATTAATAATGTATACACAATTTTCTATTAAAATGCTATAGAAGTAGCAATATTATTCCAATGAGATTTTCAAGTTGTAACAGGACGTTACACCGCATTTTTATTTTGAATTGTTACAATATAGACTATAATATCTCATACAAAACTCACAGGCTTTATATCACATATTTATTCCGGTTTTAGTTCCCCGCACTCGTTTGCATAAGTATATTATGTAGAAAAAGTATAAAAACATACGCAAAGCTAAAACAGACTAAATTATGTAAAATACAAGTGGAAATAGTGAATGCTTTTTTCGTGTCCTAATTTTTTTGTTTGAGCACAATTTTTCCGTAGAATATTGGTGTTTAGGGATTGTACGCTGTTTGTTACAGAGATTTAAAATATTACCTTTGATTATTTATGTTTTATTGTGTGCTTGTTTTCTATGGCATAACGATTTCTATAAAATTATCTTCAGACGTCCATTCCTTATCCACAGGATTAACAACACTAGTTAGTTTAAACAATGTTATGTTTAAAAAATCAGGATTCCTATTTTAATAGATATTTCCGTTTCAGCACATACAACTGAACCAGACGCCGTCAGTGAAGCAGCCACAATCAATACTAAAAGACCCATCTCGACACAAATACGGCTACGGCAGCCCCATTTCGTCCAGCACGCCACAGAACTCAAACCAAATCCTAACCGTGCAAAACTTAACCTCGGACGTCCCCCAGTACGGGACGATTAAAAAAGAGAAAAAACAAAACGTCACCATCGACGAATCATATAATAAGCGAAGTGAAACGCACGTCGTGTAAAGTGAAGTGACGTTCAATGTGAAGTGTAAATAAAGACTAGTTACAATTTTAGATAGACATTAATTCATTTGTGATACCAGAACTGTGTCCGTGGTATTTAGATAGGAACTCCCGAATTGATTTTCGGTGTAATTTTGTTATGGAGGCTACTGTACAGCTAATGTGGGGTCGAGGGTCGACTTAACTGGAAATATAAATAGGTCAACGGAGTTTCACCTGGTGAATCGTGACCTCTACGGTAATTTCTAGTTTACAAAGGCGATTAACGTGGGGTATGACAGGTCGAAATCAAAAGTGGACATTACAAGGATGTCGGTATGTATTACTTTGATTTGCACAATGGCAGTTGACAACTGTCAAAACTTGTCAAAAGGTCATACTGTGGTAGCCTTCATACGTTTGACTGACTTATCATTACAATTATTATTGCATTAGGACGTCCAAATGGCATTAACGACGCAAAATAGCAAAAGCGGGTGAGACAGAGATCTCGTTTCGTTTAGGAATTGTTCTGTTTCACTAGAAATACCGTCTCTTGCTATTTGGCGTCTTTAAATCGATTGTTATATTGTAATTAATTTTGATCTAATAAGTTCTAAGATCGCTTGTCGATTTAAACGATTCCCTCGAAGGATCTCTTTAAGTTTTAGAATAGAATTGTTACTAATTTTGATTGAATTAACAAAATTTATTGGGGAAATTTTAAATTGCTCCCAGAGTTGAAGTTTGTTTCGATGATCTAGCTAGCGTTTTAGCGTTGTATTGCATTTATTGTTATTAAGAACAATTAGAAATGAGAAATGTAATTCGCCAACTGTTTATTTGTACATCTCCACTTTGTATATTTTATATTATACAATAGTTATCTTCTCTGTAATTTCGTGTAAATAATAATAATACTCAATCGCGAACTGACAATAATAATAAGTTTTATTTTTTTAATTTATACTCCGCTTGCGTTTATTTGTAAATATAATACGATATTGTATTTTCTTTTAGCTTTTTTAATACAAAAATTAATCGGTTTTAATACAGATACCAAAGTTATAATTAATGTTTAAGTTGTAAGCTATATTTGTTTCGTTTTAATTTTCTTTTGATTAAGAAATTCGAAAACGACAATGTGACACGTAATGTTATTGGAAAATCTGGAATCCATCCAATGACGAATACGAATATACAAAAATCTTTAATGTTACATTTTGGATTTAAATAAAAATGAGCTAATTATTTTCTTTTGTTTTATTTTTCTTTCCTTTTTCCTTTGAGTCCGATTGTGAACATATCAAGTGTAACTTTGCTTGAATAGTTAAATGTGATGTGCCAAAGTTTGTTGATTATCTCGAATATTTGCTAACCTTTAGACATCGTAGTCGTCATACGTCCTTCTATATTAAATTAAAATAAAATTTAGTCAAGTACTCAAACCGTGCCTTATAATTTTACGCCATTTTGAGAATAAAATAACTTAAGGTATTGCCAAATCTATAATTAAAACGAATATTTCTTTAGAATAAGGCTTTTCAATTTTAATAACATTTAATGTATCACGAAAAAGATCAAAAACTTCAAAAACATTGTGTTGGACTTTTTAAATTTTATAACGAAATTTGTTGAATGATTAAGTGTAAATACAGGTTTTAGTTTATCTCTCTTAAAATAATTTTCGCGATACATAAATGTTTAGTTGCAAATAATTAAAATAATGAAAGCCCGTGCCTATGTTTTTAATTTAATCCCTAGATAATCTTTGTCCTATTCGATTTTGATACTTTTAGGTGTAAACCATTAAATTAATTTGCATACATTGAGTAAGTGTAAATGTGTGTTTCAAGAGCTTGTCATGTAGGCTAAGTGCGGATGCCTAGTGGGTTTTGATAGCGTATCACTTTTGTTATTACCTCTACATCACATTAAACAAAAATTTGCAGAATGGAACGAATAAGTACTTTAATAAAAACGGTGAAATCAGACTTGTTATAAGAGGATATTTTCTGATATGAAAATACAAATTTAAATAATGATAAAACACGTAACGACATACTAAAATTCTTATAAACGTGGTATATGTCAAAACAATCGCAGGAAATTGGAGGAATACTGACACCAAAGTTAAAAACTATTTCATTATTATAATATTACTTTTACGACTGTTGTGTTGCTCTGTTGTATTCATTGACATTTGTAAATATAAAATAAAGCGACCCAAACTCACTAGGCAACCTAAATTAATCGAATGTTCAAAACATATTGTCAATATTTCTAAAATAAAATGTTAGGTAAATAAATACGTAAATTTAATAATCATTTTGTTAAATAACTTTACATTCGTTATGTTAAAATGATTTTGTAATTAAATTTAGTCATAATTGATCAATGTTATTATAACTATTTTTACTAAAATTTATTTATAGTGAACTTAGAGTCGTTTATTTACCTATAATCACAGATTAATAATTAAATTTGTAAAAAAAACTCAGATACAGTTAGAACTCATTTCAGTTTTCACTAAATGAATTAAATAATCGTTAATTCGTAATGAACGACTCTGAGTGTATAAGATAGTTTTATCTGGTCAAAACCACGTTACAAAACACTGTATTCTACGTGTTTTTAACGGATAAAACTACTTTTAATACGTTGATAAAATCAATTTCGCAAACGCTCATTGTAAATTATATTCACATCGTATGAAATTAAGGTTGTAAATTGTTCGATAATTCCAGATGTGACTTTGATATTACGTAATGCTCATGTGTAATCAGCAATTGAATTAAAAAGTATATGTTATTTACATCTTTTCATTATTCTCATATTCCACTCCCGATATAGGATACCTGTTTCAATATATTAGTTGATTCTGCGCAGTGGTCAAGGTTCAAGTCACAATGGTTCTGCGACGCTCTCGTGGACATAGATCGAAACATTTATGAATTTGAAGGGAACAAACTGACGTTTTAAACGACACTACTGAACCTTTTACTGACTTACAGTACCACATACTTTTCTTGGCCGGTAAAATGGTCGCTTTCATGGAAATTAGTATTGCCACTAAATAAAAATTTACCATTATAAGGGGAATAATTTGAAATCATGCAGGCAACTTGAAAATCAATGTATACTAATTTCAAGAAAATACAATTCTAGGCTAAAATAAATGTGACACAAACTTAGGAACAACTGATATGATAGCTTTTGTTACCTGTAGAGTGTAGGTACTATTAAATTAATATCTTTTAAGACACCTAGCAATCAGAACAGTTCGATAATTAAAACTTTGTCATTGTAATTAACAATGCAAGGAAAAAAAGAAATACATTTTAGTTTGATTTTTATTAGATGTTGGTAGATTGTAAAATTATTTATTGTACGCACCAAAATGGTGACGGTAATACCAATTTCAGCCACAGGCCAAGAAAAGTATGTGGCACTGTAATTATATAACGGAAATGACTTTTAAAGGTTCTTCGAACCTCTAGAATCACCAAATCATCACACGCAGATTCTAAAATTAAATTACAAATATCGACACTTCTAGAATTTTTCTTATAACATATGACGTGTAAAAGAAATATTAATCAGAATGCATCCATTGTAGTTCTTGTGAAAATGGTGAAAAACTCTCTCAAACTAAAATCCGAAATATAAATGTTAAAAATGTCCCACTTCAAGTTTGTCCAACGAAATTCATTGTTTGTCAGCTCATGACAAATTTTTTTTTTTTTTTTTTTTTTTTTATAATATATCACTTTTCTACTCCCCTGCCATTGTGTCCAGGGACCTTTGCACATCACACGTCTCGCGAAAGACGCCCCGGCTACATCTGTAATATTTTTGTTAACAATATTCATGGGCGAGCCGGGACGCAATTCCTCGCGAGACCCGTTCTTGGGGTTTTGTTTGCCGCCTTTACATATTCCACAATTTTTTCGCAGAACCGTTCCAGGCACGATCTGTGCTTTATTAACATGTCCTGTAGGCCGTTACGGTCTACAGTCATCTGCATTTGTTGCTCCAGGTCGTGCCTGGACGATGCAAATATAGGGCACTGTAGGAGCACATGTTCTACTGTTTGTTCTTCATCGCCGCAGTCACATGCTGGGCTTGTCCTAATTTTAAACCTATGAAGGTAATGTGCAAAGGCTCCGTGCCCTGTAAGAATTTGCGCCATCTGGGGTGTGAAACGCTTCTCTTTTATTAATTTGTACGCAGTTCTAACATTTGCGATAAATAATTTTGTAGTTCCAGCTGTTTCACCCCCCAGGTAGCGTTCATTCCATACATCTAGAGTCTTTTGCCTTATCTGATGTTTTACATATGACAGGGGGTATGCGGCGTATTCAGGTTTTGACCTTAGTCTTTCCGCCGCTTCTTTTGCTAACGTGTCCGCCCTCTCGTTCCCTGGCGTACCAACGTGCGCCTTTACCCAGAAGAGGCTTATATGAGTTCCTCTTTTGCGGCACTCTTCCAGGCTCCGGCGGATCTCGGCTACCTGGGGATCGAGAGATCGTCCACTCACAATAGCATCTAATGCTGACCTAGAATCACTGTATATTTTAGCGTCACGCTTATTGTTATTTATGTGGCTAGTCGCGTTTCGTAGTGCCGTCAATTCAGCTTGAAAAACTGTGCAGTGGGGCGCCATCTTAATCATCTTGCTATTTATTTCCATTCCATCTTTCCATTCCGTCCAAGCGGCACCCACTCCTATACTTGTTTTGCTGCCGTCCGTATAGATTTGTGTGCCGCCGTGTCCTTCGATTTCTTCCGGATTGGTGAGCATCTTGTAGTCCAGTTTTGTTTGTTTCGCCGGGTGTGGGAGATCTACGTATTTCACTCTCCTCTCTAATTCTTCGCCCTCCAGTATTTCCGTGCGGTCCCCCCTTCTTATCTCGTATAAGGCAGCGGCTTCTTGAATACGGAGGTCTAGTGGAAGTATCCCGGCCAGTAGGGTTGCTGCGTGTAATGATGTCGTCCTATAAGTTTTTGCTACTTTTTGG